AGAACAAGAAGTCCTGACTTGAGTGTTGAAGAGAGTTCTCTGGTTTCTTTCCTGAGAAAAGATTGGAGGGGTGCCAGGGAAGAACCAGTGAGTTAAGTCGGGTGACTATTGCAATAATCCAGGTGAGAGGTGACAGTGGCTTGTCCAGAGTGTTAGTGATGTGGTGAGAAACGGTCAAGTTATGAATATATTTTGAAGATAAAGAAGGAAAAATTTTCTGAGGGACCTGATGAGAGGTATGGGAGAAAGAATGGAGTTTGTGACAGCATAAATAATTTTAGCCTATGCTACTCAATAGAGTTGCTACAGTAATATCATACACAAATAATAACAGTCTGATGTCTTCCTGTCTAATCCTTACACTATTTTTTTGTCTTATTGCACTGGCTAGAACCTCTAGTAATAGAGGTTCTGTTTAATAGAAATAGTGATAGTGGGCATCATTGTCTTATTTGTGATCTTAAAAAGAAAACTCTCATCATTTCATCATTAAATGTTATATTTGGTGAAGGTATATAGTCTCTATCAGTTTAAGGAAACTTCCTCTGTTTCTTGTTTATTATAACTTTTTCCTCCATCATGAAAGATGATGAATTTTGTTAAATGTTTCTTCTGTACTATGAAAAAAATTAGTCAATTTTTCTTCTTTACTGAGATGGGAAAACTGCAAAAGTTAGTGGTTAGAGGAAAATACTAGAATCTTGATTTATACCTGTTAAAATTGAGATGCCTATTACACATCCAAGTATATGGGCCAAATAGACAACAGTATATGGTTCAGGAGTTCAGGAGAGAGCCTGGTGACACAAATTTGAGGGTCACCAGCATATATGCTGTGTTTAAAGCTGTGAGGCTAGATACAATCATCAACAAAGCAATTAGATTATAAATTAGACATATATAAATTAGATATATAAAAAAAGAAGTTTAAGGGTCAAGCCTTGGTAATATATTTATTAATACCTTAATTATATTCTTTTATAAAGGCTAATTTAATAAAAATCATCTTATAGACAGCCTAATGGGGAACGGTGGGGTGAAGAGTCCCTATTTACTTAGAGTCCATTAGTTTTAATGTAAATGTAGATACTTTAGTCTGACTGGGTGTTTGAACAAATTATTCCCTGGTTCCATGTCTTCATCCATATATGAGACTATAATTAGAATTTAATTTTAATGTTCCAAAATGATGAAAACCAACATTGGGCCAGTTTAATAAATTTAGAAGACATTTTGTCTAAAACTATTTGTGAGTCACAGGGATACAGAAGTGAAAAAAGAGTAAAAAGCATTTATGGTTACTGATGACACTGGAGCTTATAAAATGGCACAAACTCAGTAGGACTGAAAAGACGTTACGAAGTTCCTTTCAGCGCAATTTTTAAAGAGATGCCCTGCTAATCATATGTGCAATTTGATCCTTCTGAGTATTAGACATTTTCTCTTTTGGAAGAGCATTTTGCAGCTTAGCTTAACTATGTTTTTAAAAACAGCACATAAAGTGAGAAATGCTATAATTTGAAAGGCTGCACTTTTGCATTTTAATTTATGAAATCAACCCAGTTGCTTACATGTTTCAGAGCGTGAGTTCTTCCATTCTTGGTATGGTTCTTTATCTCTCATAGTTGTTGAGGGACAATAATCTGAAACAGCAGTCAAAAGCCTGACACAGCTCATAATAAAAAAGGGTTTTTCCCTCCAATATATTATCTGATTTTTTTCCTCTAAGGATAATGGGATAGATTTCAGACCAAATGCTTCAACTGGCCCCCAGTTGAAGTAAAAGCTTTTAGTGGCCGCTGCAAGGCTCTGCACAGCCCGGTTAGTGGAGGTGGTCTGGCAGAGGGAGAATGGGAACAACAGCAGAGCCAAGAGCTTGTAGGAAGAACTTGGTGAAATACTGACATTTTTACGCACAACAGCAAATCACACTGAAAAATGCGTAGGAGTCAGAATGTGACAACAACTCTGAAGATATTAATCAAATAGGAAGTGATCATCTTAATGGCGAAACAGTGCCAAGAGGGATGCAGGCACCATGAAAAAGCTGTGGGAATTAGGAACATTAAAGCCATAGCTGTGATTTTGGAGGAGAATGTCCATCCCCTTAGAAATGCACACTGAAATACACAGGGGTAAAGAGGTATGATGTATGCAGCTTACTCTCAAATTGTTAAAAAATAATTAGATACAGACAGGGCAATGGAAAGAAGAGAAAGGGAGAAAGGAATGGAGAGAGAGGAACGTGCAACTGATAAAGTGGATGGGGTCAGGATGTTCACAATAGGTGACATTCTTGCAGCTTTCCTGAGTGTTTCAAACTATTTTCACATTCAAAGTTGATAAGAAGTACACACGCATGTGCACACACACGCGCACACACACAGAGGGCAATAAATCTTGAACGCTGCTGCCTAAACCACATTTTTCCATCATTATCCCTCCCCCATGCCTAAGCACCTCAAGAATGTCTTTGGCATCCATCAAATGACCAAGCTCACAATTCTTCTGAGGTGTTAAAGAATATCAGTCTTCCTTTGCCACTCTCTGCTTCTTTTTCTGAAGGCCAGGATTTCTATAACTTTAGAAAACATGAACATAGAGTACAGAGGCTGCCCCCCCTCTGAGGCCAGAGAACTCAGCTGCTGAATGTGCTATTTGTCAAAGCTCTGTTGGGAGGCTAGGTCGCTAGGTGCTCATACCCCCAAACTTTCAGGTCCTGCTATGGGCCTTCCTTGCCCAGCCAGGTGTCTCTGCTAACGGCCAAGAGGTTAGAGGTGTGTGGGGCGCGGTGACAACGCCATTACAAGATGGCGCCGATTTCCGGTGGCCCGCCTGTAGTAAACAAGTTCAGCGCATGCGCAAAGTAAGTCCTGGCCTGTTATATAAGTATGCATATGAAGGATCTTAGCTTGGCCTATCAGTAATAACCCTCGCGTGCTTTTAACCTATCCCCATCACTTCCCTCCTTCCTTAGAGTATATAAGTGTGTGAGAGCTTGTGCTCAGGGTCTTCCGCATCATGTAAGTCTAAAGGGAACCCCATTAAAGCACTGTCAGAAGAACTCCGGTTGCCGCGTCTTCCTTGCTGGCGAGGCGGGCGCGACAGAGGTGGCCCTTGCGCCTCCTCTCTTCAGGATGGCGGCCATCTTTGAATGCCATGCAATATGTCCTCTTACATGTTTTGCAGCAGGAGAAAATTTGTGTCACATTTTCGGTTCTCAGGGGTTGGTGTCCTAGTACATAGATGTTCAAATTATATTTGTTAATTGGGTCACAAATTTGCTTTGAGAGAGGCCAAGGAACTGTAAATATATTTATATAAAGTATAATGGTGCATTCAAAAATGGAGCAATTCAATGCAATAGAGTGAGAGATGCCAGCAGGGCAGTGCAGAAGAGTGGAAGGGGCTGGGATCAGAATGACGGTGGGGCCTCTCAAATGCTAACGTGCCCGCCATTCCCCCAAGGAGCTTGTTAAAATGCAGGTTCGATTGGTAGTCTCAGGTGGGGCCTGAGCTTCTGCATTTCCAAGCGGCTTCCAGGGGATGCCAGTGCTGAATAGTAGGCTGCCTTGGGGCCCCAGAGGAGGGGTGGCTCACTGATGCCTGGAAGGCTTCGTGGAAGAGGAAGATCCTACCTGGGCTGTGGAAGGAGAGTAAGCAGAGTTTCCCTATAGGACCAGGAAAAGCATTTTAAGTGCAGGGATGGAGTGAACAAAGCACAGGGGGCAGCATAACTTGCTAGAAGAGCTCTCAGTAGGAGGCTGGGGCAACACAGCATTGATGTACTGAGAGAAGCAGGCAAGTTAGAAAGGAAGTTTTGAATATTGGGCTAAAGAGCAGCCGGCTTATATTCTAGGCCCCAGAAAGAGAAGGTGTTAGAGAAGAGGATATGACAAAAGTCTGTTTGGACAAGGCTACCCCAGGTGTTTCCATGTCCACAGGACACCATCATTATAATCCCTTTCCTATGAGCGAGATATTTGAGAAATGGCAGAGGCTACAGAGGAGTCATTACAGGAGACCTCTCTCTTAAATAGTTTCTGGCTGCAGATTTCTTTTTCTCAGATCCTGCCAGGCAGATAAGTGTTGGGGTCAGGGTTTAAATTCACTATGCTCAAGGTAAATTGGAGAAGTGATCAGCATTTGATTGTGTGTATCCAAACTCAAATCAGAGGGATACTGAATATCTATAGTTCAGTATAGAAAAAGACCCAGAGTCCTTCATAAATATAGACTTATTAGCAATTAGCATGCAGAGTCATGGTTGTTTATTCAAAGACAATAAAGTTTGTTTCCTAGGTGTATCAATAGGAAAACAACATAAACAATTTGTAAAGTGTACCCATAGTTCTTTAACTGCTATAGCACTAATTCCTTAGTTAAACCTGTAAAAATGAAGATTTGCTTTAATAATATTTTCTGTTTCCTGATTTCCCCAGTTGTGTCCTCATGTTTCGCTGTGTGCTACAAAGGTGGGTTGCAGGTGCATTTAGGTACCACTAATGTAGACGGCATCTATTATGGGCTGAACAGTGTTCCCTAAAAATTCATATCTTGAAGTCCTAACCCCTTAGTATCTCAAGGTGTATTTGGAGATAGGTCCTTTAAAGAGGCAATTCAGTTAAAATGAGGTCATATTGGTAGACCCTTTATAATATGACTGGTGTCCTCATAAGAGGAAGAAGTTTGAAAATAGGTAGAGAGGGAAGACCATGTGAAGACACAAGGAGACAAAGGCCATAAAGAAACCAAGGAGAGGCCGGGCGCGGTGGCTCACGCCTGTAATCCTAGCACTCTGGGAGGCCGAGGCGGG